TTTCTTTACGTGGTCTCACGTGTAATGTGGACATATTAGTACTGTGATTCAGTAGCTTTAGAACAAACACTTCTAAGCAATTTCTTATCATCCAGCGTCAAGTGTTTATTTGTATATATTTTTGTCGTCTTACCTGAAGCATGGTTTAGTATATAGAAGGTTAATTCCATTCAATCCGTCTATAGTATGTTGCTGCTCAGTAATTTTAGATTGATTATGCTCAGAGGTAGCAATAAACATAACGTTTTTTTATGGTGACATCTACACTCTACAGCCATAAATTTAATTAAAATTATTGTTAGTCGAATCTTTAAAAACAAATCAGAAAAGATCAGGATGAAAGTGGCATTTGTCAGAGCTAGGTAGTAAAAGTAGGCGAATTAAGATTCGGGCGAAAGTCTAAAGCATCTGGGCGAAAAGGCTTGTATTCACTCCGTACGTATCTTTTACAACAGTTTAAGTTGTCAGTTGTCAACGTCGTATGTAGGTCCTCAAAGAGTTATTAGAAAAATGTTCTTTTCAAACTGTAACAAACGGTTGTTTAAAATTTTTAGTTTGTTTTCCTGTGCTTTTAAAAATAAATTAGTGTTTTGATGATCTTTATTATTAAAAGCCACTATATTCAGCTTCTAATCAAGCACTTTCGGGTTTTAAAACGTCTGCACGTCACACAGAATAATAACACACAAATATACGTGTTTACGCTGCATGTATATTTGTGTATTTTAGTGTATTAATAGTAGTATAGTAGTGTATTTTATTTGTGTGTTATATATGTACGCTGCAAAATATTAATTTAGTACATACAAATATGTACATTATAAGCCTGAAATAAAAACTAAATTTTAAAGTTTTTATTTAATGTGTATTTGTTATTTGTTTTATATTTTGTGTTACATTTTATTTTACGTTTTGCATACGCAGTATCATAAATATACTCACAATAATTAGGTCAAATTTATTTTGTTTCGTAAGCTGTGTGTTAAGTATAAACAATCTGAAGGTACTTGAAGAGTTTTGAAAAATTCTATTACCGTCTTCTAATGTACGCTGAAGAATTTGCGACTGGAAGAAAATCAGTTCAAAACCAAAACTTTCCATCTCAATCTTTGTGCTTCCTAGAATTACATTTATGTACATTCAAGGTCCGATTTGCGTAAAAACGTAAAATCTTAGTTATAAAAACAATATTGTGTCCTTCCCTATTTTAGTACAGCGTTCGGAAGCAATAAACTCTAAATTTAACTAGAACTGTTTAGGCAACGTTCTAAACAACGAAACATGTTTCTACACTTTGCTACAAACATCTAGTAAATATTCTAAACTTTACCGTCTCGTGGGTAATTGCTCATTATAACCTTGCTATGCTTTATCAACTTCCGAAATTGGATAGCAGAAAAAATTCAAATAAATAATATAAAGGTCGTTGACTTGATAACGCACACGCCTTCTGCTTGTCTTGGGTTGGTGTTACCGGCGAAATATTTTCAAGGAAATTATATATTCTTTATGTTTTTATGGGATGTTTCCTTAAAACAGTATTGATTGTAAACATTCGAACCACGTTTAACACTTAATTTAATAGCAATTAGATCGAACGTGTCGGTTTTTTTAACCTTATTTGGATAAATTATAACTATTTTGTATTTTATATAGAGCAAGAAAATTAATAAAGCAACGATACATTGTTCTATGGTAGAGGTTTAATTTAATACTTGCGTAACTCTGTCGCCGACTATTGGTTGTATTAGAATGGAGTTATCACAATTTTCTTTTAGTAATAAATACTGACGAGTTCCCTACTTAAATAAGTTATTATGTATTTTTAAAGGCAAAGTTTATATATTTAACACAATTATTTCAGGGTTTAGCAATAGTTTTATTGGCACTTGTTCTAGTGAAAAATTCATTAATTTCTATTATGTAATATTGAGGTTTTTCATAAGTTTTTGTTATTATATAGTGTCGGTAGGTAACAGGTAGACTATTTTAATGTGATTATTAAAATAGTCTACTTGTGTATTTGTTTTTAATGTATATTATGTGATGTCAATAAATACACGGGCAACTTGTGTAAAAACTATTGATGACAAAACACACGCACACACACATGCGACTTACATTGTTTGTGAATATTTTTGTGTAGCCTTTTTATAGGCTGCTATAGAACTACGAATATCCATCGGTAAATTCGCGGGGAACAATTAAAAAAGATTTATCTGTCCGTTTCTTGATCATTTGTTCATCTAATAGGAAAGTAGATGGTCAGCCTCCTGTGCCTGACACACGCTGTCGACCTTTTAGGTCTAAGGCCAGCCAGTTTCTTCACGAAGTTTTCCTTCACCGTTCGAGCCAATGTTACATGCGAACATAGACAGAAAGTCCGTTGGTGCGCAGCCGTGGGATGAAACCTACGATCAGTCTGAGAGCCGCACGCAGAAGGCCAACATTACGATACATAAATACATAAACCGGTGTATTTCAGCGGCGAAATTTTATATGTTATAGACAGATTTAAGGAAGCATAGGGCAGTGAGATTTGCTCCCGCAATTAAATTACTTACCTTATACCGAATGATCGAATGCTTTTCCTTAAAAAATCTCAATCATTACAATTAATAGATTATATAGAATTTGTATCACATTCTGATTTGCTGAGCAGAAATAACCAGCCGACGCCGCGCCGGCGCGAAATATGATAATACCACAGTTCTTACTTCTCATAAAAAGAACAATTAAGCCCCGATTTTAATTCACAGTGTCCTCAAAAGTCTTGATGAGCTTAAATTGTACTTGACCGAATTCTAAAGGGTCCATTTACAATTGGCTTTATGTCTCCAAATTTAATATTTGTGTACATCAATTTGTTTGATTGGCTTAATAAGTGTGTCGCAATCAACACGTTTGTAGGTTTACGACCTTATGCAAATAATGCTTAACCATTTCTATTGGTGAATATGTTGTTTAAATATATTTAGAACGTATAAGAAGATTACTGAATTGTTATTTAAATCACCTTCGAACACGCAGTTTATCATACACGTCAATGCCGTTTTTATAAAAACTAATTTAGTGTAATTGCCATCTTTAAATTAGTCTTTATGATTAAGGAATCATCGGAATATACTTATACTATATTCAAACGAATCCTTTGGTATAATAGTTGCAGTAACAAACAAAAATATTAACCCCTCATTATACTTACAATAAGACTTAAATTGCTTACAAAAAGCTATTTTGTTTTTCATTATTATCGTATCATCTGAAAATATATTGAAGTTCGTTTATGATTGCTCGTTTATTTATAAAAAAAATTCGAAAACAACGTTAAGCCTCGATGTTTTCATGAAAACTCTGTAAACAAGTGTCCTAACAGGAACTTCATACAGCTTTCACAAATTGATTCATTCTGTTAGAGGATTATTCGCGATGCAATACTTTTTATCGTTTTTGATTCAGTGGTATGATTTCTTATGTTTCAAACTGTCTTATGAAAAAACAAATATCGCGTCAATTCAAGAACTTATTTAAATCCAGTCGTGCTACAACACTCTTAAGCGGGCCATAGACGGACCGCATGTTGCAGTCAAGACCGACTGCCACATGCGGTCCGTCAGGAACTGCTCGAGCGGTCCGTGTATTGCGAATATGAATTTAGTATGGAAACTGCAGATCGCCGTGCGGCGACCGCTTGGAGCAGTCGGTATCGGCTGCAACATGCGGTCCGTCTATGGCCCGCTTTAGACGTAGCCTGAGATTTCTGTAAGTCCTTGATAAATTCTGGGGTCCATTAGTGCACGGGCTGTAGCTCAGTAATACTTGATGTTTACATTGTAAACAAACCTCAGTTTTTTTTAAACTAAAGCAGTGTAATTGCAACATATATACGTATGATTATATAGGGTTTAACCACCCAAATAAATACTTAAAAACATGTTCTACAAGTTATATGAATAAGGCTGGCTATTAGTTTGCAAGTCGCGTTTTCCACACTCGTCTACGGATCATGTCGGACTATATAAAATTGCTGGGGATTTCTCGATGAAGTCGGCTCTCTCCCCCTAATTGCGGCTTACAAAGCTATTTATTTGAGAATCGCGAACGTATTATGATTAAAGACAATTTATAAGAGTGCAAATGTTATTGATTTCCTGTATTTCAAGTTTATTAAAATAGTTTTAGTACTAATGATATGAAACATAATCAGTACTTAGGCAAAGTACTGATTATGTTAATTTCTACTAAACTAGAGTTTAACTAATATACTAACAATTTTAATATCTATCGATTATTGGCAAACGGTAGTTCGGTTACATTTTGTCTTCCGACAAAGGCCTCCTCCCGCCGAACTCTTGAACCCGCTATTTTCTTAACGTCATCCTCCCATCTCTTAGCCTGTCTTCATCTATGTATCTTTCCGTCTAAAGGGTACTATTCTGTGATAAGTTTTGTCCATATTTCTTGCTTTTCTCTCATCATATGCCCTGTCCACCTCCACTTCAGATGTTTGTATGTTGTGTATGCATTCTTAAACTATGCTATGAGACTGCAAATATAGCTATGCTTAAATAAGTTAAGGGAAATCGGAGAAAATAATGCATATAAGAAAGTTAAATATATCTAATTGTACATAAAATTTCTTATATAAAATGTGGTATAAATAGAAGATTAGGAATATTATCTGATTGGGATTTGGTGACCGTAGTATTATTTCGCCACCGGGCGGTTGTCAAATCGAAATCGTTACTTGGGCGGGGCAAGCGCGCGCCGGCCAATCCTAACACTCTCTTGTACTTACCTATTCTTGGAGACATCCCAAAATATCTACCTTGTAATTATATAGCTTGTTATATACTTAGGTTGAACAGGAAAAACTGAATGGAACTTTATTCCACCCCATGTTGAAATAGAAATAGTTTTCCGTATGAAATGTTCGTTATAAATGCGTATAGGTGTATAGGCCCTTTAGAGTAAAAACTCTAACATCGCTTATTAAAAATATGGTATTTACAGTATTTCCTAGTCTTTTCTTGGGAAGAAAGGATTTTCGTATCGTCATCACAAATCGTTGTGCTATCTATGAAAGACACAGTGGAATGAATGCAGTAGAGTTAGTATCTATCTCAAGAAAACCTAACAACGAAACTTCTCTCCTATTTTATCATAAAGTTACGCTTATGTTGATACTTGACCTAGGAAAAAATGGAATTGACGTGATAATAAATCTATGTTATTATATAAGTCTGTAGCCCTGGCTACCTGACATAACTAATGGCTTATTTCTATGCCAAATACAATTTAATAGAATATTAGGAATTTTATTTTGTACCCAAGTAGGGGTCATTCCTAACTGCAACTAAATTTGCTTGATTCTCGGGACCATCTTGTCAAAGGTAAATAATTATATAAAACCAAAGTTCAAAGAGAATTTGAAACAACAATAATAATTTTAGTTTAATAATTGATGCATATTCCAAGTTTGTGACTCACCTATTCTAAATTTAAAATTTTATAATTTCAGGTATCAAAGGCAGAGGATATCTATTGGGAAGGGGAAAATGAGGCTTCAAATGAGTTCTTAGAAGTGGATACCGGAGACCTAGGCATCGGAAAACATCTAGAGAGGCTAAAACGACAATTAAATTTCTTTTGTAAGTGCATTTTATTTCTTGATATGTATACATGTACTATTTTTTCCAGTCCTTTAACAGTTTTAACAGGTTTTTAAGAAACAACGAAAATAAGATTAAAAAAAAAATCAATTTGTGTTGATTTATCTTGTTAGCTGTTTTTGATTCGATAGACATTTTGGTGGCAATCACGACAGCTATATATCCACATTCATAAAACTCATTTTCAGTGCAGATTTAAACTTATCCTCACTTACCAATATTTAGTAATCGTGAACGCCATATCATGACCGTATAAGGGACATAAAAATCAGTGAAAAAACATGAAAATAAATTTTAAAAAATCATAATTCGTGTCATTGTGCAAGCATCAACAGATTGGCGTTCGCTAGGCAATTATTGCAATAACATAATTCTAATAACATTCCAGCATTCTTCACAACAACGACGCCTCCACCAGCAGAGATCAATGAGAGCGTCACTGAAGATGATGAAGATATTGGGTAATTTAATTTATATATATTAAACTAAAATTTTATTTTTTTAAATTCTGATCAATTTCTGTGAGATCTATTTCAAATGTTGAAATTAATTTGTCAACTACATTAACATGCATTTAGATTAATGGACAAAATTAATGAGGGATCTATTGAAGTGGAATAGCTGCTAGCTAATTATTATATAACACTAGCTGACGTTGTTTTGCCATGTATATTATTTCTAGGAAACATTTTTTTAATTCAATAAAAATAACTATCTACTATAATAAAAAATAGAGGTTGATTGAAAATTAGGGGTTGTGTGTTTGTTTTTGTATGTTGTATCATAAATAAATAAGAACAAAAAAATTTGTATAAAAAATTAAAAAAAATTGGGGTGGACAGTGGACACCCCTTATCATTTAGGGGTTTGAAATATAGATAGTAGCCGATTCTCAAACTTACTGAATGTGCATAATTTCATAAGAATCTGTTTCGCCGTTTCGGAGGAGTATGGTAACGAACACAGGAGTATGTGTCACGAGAATTTTATATATTAGATTACTCACCTACACAGTCTAAAATACAGACCATATAAGTTACGGAAGGATGTCAAAAACAATTCCTTTCAACAAGACGTTGATATTTCAAGCGATTAGGATATTAAACAAAGTATGAAAGTAGCGACTGCTGCACCATCTGCCGGGCTGATTTGTGAATCTAAACCATCCAACCAACCACCCAACCAACGCATACAAAAAATGCATTGAAATCGGTCCAGCCGTTTAAGAGGAGTTCAGTGACATGCACACAGTAGAATTATATATACAAAGATAGAATAAACAAGTATTTTGAACTATTTATTTAATCATATTACGAATCGATCTCGATCTCGAACGTCGATCTCATCTAGTTTAAAAAAAAAAATATGTTTGACGTGTAAAAGTGTTTGTAAAAACCTACTTACAGAAATAAATAATTTATCATTTATCAATCTTTACGTGTCACTGGTCTGAGGTCCGTTTTTGTCACAGTATTAATATGTGTATTGAAACAATGCAATGTCTCATTTCTCAATCTTTAATATTACAGAAAATGTTAATTCTTTTTCAAATAAGATCAAAAATCAATTTCAGAAATAAGTATGAAGATGTGGAAAACGAGGTCGATGGGGGATCTGGAGTTCCCGATCGAACTGAGCCTGAACCAAAAGAAAGTAAGCATTTATTAACTTTATTCTTGATAATGTTGTATTCTACCTTGTATTGTGTATTCATGTGTTTCGGGTATATAAAACACGTCCCACACACGTCTACAGTGTAGACGCAAAGTAAAACTTATATGGTGAATTTACTTTAAATAATTTGATTTATTTTAATTAGGTTTAAAATTAAACAATATAATATATAAAATTTATTACTATACGCTTAATTATTTAGAACCACTTTTGTAAATAAAAAATTCAATAATAAGAATATTCAAAACGCTTAGCAATTTCAGCATAAAAGTGTAATCACGGACTGGAATAGCATTTACCTAAGACGATGATGAAAATCTACTAAATTATATGAAATATGTAAAATAAAATATTGTACATAATATCTTAACTGACCTTGTACATTACATTCATTTATTTAAAGCTTAAATCACACTTGCTTAGAGCCCTAGAAAAAAGAATTATTAATGCTGTAATTAACTTCTCATTAACTATACAAAAAGCAATGTTGGCCTAGTGGTGTAAGCGCCCCACTCCCAATCCTGAGGTCGTGCGTTTGAATCACGTGTTTCGTGAATTTCCTTTCTATGTGCACAATATGCTCCCAAAACCCGAAAATTTACGACATGTGACAGGCACAGAAGGCAGATCACCTACTCGTCCGAGAAAATAAAACGCGATGCGCGGCCAAGACCCCTTATAGGGTAGCAGTGCCTGTGAGGTGTTATTTATGATTATTAACCATGACGTCAATAGATTTTTATTCATATTAAACTTCATTATTATTCATGACTATCCCGGAAAAGTTGATTAATTATATTGAAGTACATTTACGATATCACCACTTGCAGACCTAACTTCATTTACTATAGTACCGCAGACTGGTTTACTCACACAGCTTTATTTAATGAGTCTAGTTAAGCACATACAAGAATATAAAAATTTATATACAAAAATAGTTGTTAATATTTAATTCCAACCCCTAATGGTACATGGACCAACTAGTTTATGCGTCATAGAATTGTTTGTAGTACTTTGTAGTTTTATTCCACCACACATACTCAGTAAAGGGTGAAACGCACGATATCCGTGTTAGGAACAGAAAGTTTTCGTTAAAACTATGACTGTATAATTAATTATATATGTACAAAATTGTGTGCTATAGAAAAGCTATTATATTTCAGAAACTCTCCGAGTAACATTTGTGGTAAAGGAGCCTTATCAAACGAATTACTCGAACAGAGATTCGTTGGAATTCCAAAACTTCTCGAAGTCTTTAGCTGAAGCCGTTAATGCTGTATTTAGAGACTTACCTGGGACCCATAGAGCAAGTTTAGTTAGGATTCAGTAAGTATTCGTGTATATATTACATAAAAATATTTTATAGAAAATATAGAAATATTTTGTAGTGATTTTTTATATATAATGTTTGGATTAACAAATCATTAACTTAATTACATTTTATTCAGTATCCAAGAATCCGCATTTCATAAGAAATAATACTTAAATAAAAATAACGTGTCTTTAGAAATATTAGAAATTAGTAGCCAATTATTCTCGTCACTTGTTTTACTGACTTATGTAAAGCTCTTGAAAAAATTATATAAATCACGTAATATATTCTAATATATAAAGATAAACACTAGATAGGGATAAATGTATTACAGTATTAAAGAAAAGCTGTGTAAAAAGGCTTACCATAAAGTTAACGATTATCTAGTTGATAAAAGATCCTGGGACTAGTGCTAGACAGGCTACTTCTAATTAATTTGCGATATATGTCTTATGGCGCGTCTAAACGGGCCATGTTTTGCTGCAATTGATGGCTGCACTGTTGGCCACTAATTGCCCGGCCATTACAAAAATATTTTAATGCAGCTGATGGCCGAACAATCTATGGCTGGGCAATGTGTTGCAATAGTATGGCCCATGATGCAGACTCCTAAACGGGCTACACAAACCGGCAACAATGGCTAACAAAATCACACTTGTCGCAGCAGCTTATATTGTTTTAAAAAAGAAACAGAAAAAGAAGAGATTGTGGATTCGACCTTACTTAAATAGGCGTGAAACTGTAGACAATTTGAGTCTAGAAATAAGTCTTGATAATAAATTATTCAAGAAACAGAATGTCAAAAGTAGTCATTTTTACGTAGTAATCTAACGTCAAATACAGCTGCCCTGCGATTCTGTAACTCACTTTTCGAACTCACACAGCGGTTTTCGCATCGGCGGTCGCTCTCAAATCAGTCGTGAAGCAGTCATTTTATGATGTGGCATTCTGAAAAGGTGGGAGCTTGTAGTTTATTGTTTATCAGAATGCCAAATCATAAAATGACTGCTTCACGACTGATTTGAGAGCGACCGCCGATGCGAAAACCGCTGTGTGAGTTCGAAAAGTGAGTTACAGAATCGCAAGGCTGATCGCAAAACACAGAATAAAGCAACAGGCACACTTCACTCAAAGCAAACGTCATGTCGCGTAGAAAAGGATACACTATGCCATAACAAAGAGAGTGACTGAAACAACAAGAGAACTGGCCGTGCAATATTGCAGTTGAATTCGATAGCCTAGCGATCGTCATTACTTTAATGGCGCTTCTAAACGGGCCATGTTTTGCTGCAATTGATGGCTGCAACACTGTGGCCGGCAACATTGCAAGCAATAGCAGCCACACTATGCAATATTGCAGTAATGTCCCGGCCATATAGCCAAACATGTTTTGTATAGCCACATATGGCCGATGTTGCCCCGATGGGTGGCCGGACGATCGCTAGGCTATCGAATTCAACTGCAATATTGCACAGCCAGTTCTATTGTTGTTTCAGTCACTCTCTTTGTTATGGCACAGTGTATCCTTTTCTACGCGACATGAAGTTTGCTATGAGTGAAGTGTGCCTGTTGCTATAGTCTGTGTTATGCGATCAGCTGCATTTTGACGTTAGGTTACTACTTAAAAATGACTGCTTTTGACATTTTAGTAAAGTTCTTGAATAATTTATTATCAAGGCATATTTCTAGACTCAAATTGTCTAGTTTCACGCCTATTTAAGTAAGGTCGAATCCACAATCTCTTCTTTTTCTGTTTCTTTTTTAAAACAATATAAGCTGACAAGTGTGATTTCGTCAGCCATTGTTGCCGGTTTGTGTAGCCCGTTTAGGAGTCTGCATCATGGGCCATACTATTGCAGACATATTGCAACACATTGCCCAGCCATAGATTGTTCGGCCATCAGCTGAATTAAAATATTTTTGTAATGGCCGGGCAATTAGTGGCCAACAGTGCAGCCATCAATTGCAGCAAAACATGGCCATAAGTGTTGTTTGATGATTTGCTATTTTAAAAGAGTACCGAGAGTTTTTTACGCCGGTTTTTTCTCTCGGCCTCTGTCTTCTTTGCCGATGAGTAGGGATGCCTACAAATTCAAATTTAATGACGTGGAATAAGTGATACCTGTATCTTATGTTCCATAATAAACATTTTTTTTACAGATCCAGAGCAACAGATGAATTCTCCTGTAAAGTGACGATTGAGATCGTCACTACCGGCTATGATGACACCGACAAGATTTCAGAAATTCTTCAAGCCCATATCCAAAAGAAGATGAAACTTGGTGATGTCGTTGTCAGCGATGAAGACTTTAGTACTATTGTCATCGATCCAGGTTTGGTCTTATTAAAAAAGTATTAAACTTAAATAGGGTATTCATTAATTCATTAGATTGATATCAAATATATCACAAGATTTACTATCTTAGTGTTTTTGGAGAGAAGGTTGTTAATTAAAAATCTGAAATGGAACGATTGTAAATATTTTAGATGTTGCGGGTTGTAAAAAGTGCATAACAACGAATACGGTTTGCAAAGTTATATATTTTTACTATAGTTATAAGTTGAGTATTATCAAATTGAAAATGTTAATAAAAAGCACTACCTCACAGAATACCGAATTCCAAATTTTCCCCAAAAATTGCGCACTACAAATATGTCACAAAATCTACAATTGGCCATTTTCCATTCCTTAGCATATAGTACGCCCCTTGATTCATGCTCGGTGGATCAGTTGACTTGCTCAGACGGTAGATGTGTACCGGGAACAGCGAGATGCGATGGAAACAGAGACTGTGCCGATAATTCAGATGAAATTGGGTGTCCTTATGGTATTCAGTTATTTTCCAAAAAAAAATTCAAAATTATATCTGAAGCTTTTTTTATTATAAATTTATTTATTCTATGAAATATTATTTGGCTAGCATTTTAACGTATGTGGTATTTACGTATGTATATTATAATTTAAACGTTGTTTATAGAATATGTATTTTATTCTACTAAAAACACTCTTTAAGCGTTACCTTAGATAAATTAAGTAAGGACTTGATGAGCATAATTTGAGCTTTGAATAGTAAAATTTGGTGTTTCAAATGAAAGGTAAAAATTAATAAATTATCACACAAACTATAAATGAAACAAAAATCAATCTGGTTTATATTTCTTACTTCTATTGAATTTAAATTAGTAGGTAGGCATTGATAAATATTGGACAGTGTCCCACAAACAAGTGATCAGACAAAAACTTCTATAGACCAATCAAAAAAAAATAAACGAGCTTCCTTTTCATACCTCGTTCATTTGCATGTCATATCGCATCCGAATAATATTTAAGTACAAATTAAGTAAATAGCAAGGAAATTGAAATTTAGATTTTGCTAATCACGTGTATTATAACGTTTGCTTTACCATTTTGATCTTAACGAACTATGTCATTTTATACCTTTTTTGTGACTATACCGCCTCGGACATACATCAATACATCAATTTTAATATTCATAAGCTTGTCGAACTTTGACAATCAGGGTAATTTTAGTAGCAGTATTTAGAAATGCTTAACACAGCTTTATAATTATATCCTATCTTAATTTATATTAGTATAATTATTTTAGTTTTATGTATTATTTTGTTTATTTGACCTTATTTTTTTTATCCAAGAAGATAACAACAACCAAGAACAGAATCATTACGATCCGGAAAACCCAGATGACAGCAAAAATGATGATCAGTTTGTACCAGAAAGTCCCGATGACGATTATCCTAATCCAGAAGTAAATGAAAATACGCCAGGCCCATACAGTGAAAATGAAAGGGAAGATGAGCTTATAATATCTCCAATTGATAAACCAAAAGACGTAAATAACGAAGCTGATCCTTATGAAAATACAAATGCAAATGAGATTGATGATGATAACCTTATAATTCCTGAAGACAAAAATCGAGCTGGAGAATCCCCCAACGGAGGTATTACTTTGTTATTTTTTAAGTTTATTTTTGTTCTTTTTTTATGCAAAAAGTATAATGTAAACATAAAGAAATAGAAACAGGTAAATAGAGCTAAGCGTAGTCAGTACCTGAAATTTCATTGTATCTTCACAAAGATATTTGTATAGTACGGTTACTATTCCGAAAAAGCTTGCAATTTTTTTTGATTATCCAGATAAAGGTATAACTTTCAATAAAAAGCTTAGTAGGCTGTTTACTATTATTGTTTTTTTTTTAATTTTTGCTTTTGTTTCTTTTACTTAAAGACAGGGGAGACACACCTGATTTGCAACCAACAGACACTGCAACGGACTATCCTGGCATTGACGAAACATCAGAAAGTATGTACCAGGTTTATAAACATACCAGTGATAGGTGAATAAATGAGACTTATAGAAAAATATACGGAACGAAAAAGTCAATGGAAACCTTTTTAGGCCAGTTATGCTAGTCCCGATATTCATGGCTACATAACTACAACAGTGGAATAATTATCAAATAATTAAGCTTACTACTCGGCTGATATGATGCTGAGTGCCACTAAACTTCAACTGTATAATTGCGCTTGAAATGAGTTCACAATTGCATTCAAATCTATATGTGACTTAGGGGTGTTATTACGAGTAATACAGGACAAAAAAATATAGTCCACGAAAATTAAAACTCTTATAAGTTATATAACACATCTTTGTCTACAGCTTGTCCAGAGAATTCAATGCGATGTGATGAGACCCGCTGCGTCCCAAATGCAAAACGTTGTGACCAATACAGAGACTGCAACGACGGAGCTGATGAAGAGGGATGTCCGGATGGTGAGTAGATATCTCAATTTCAGTAAATTTATAATTAACTTGTGTATTTAAAACTGGTGACCGTAAAAGTTTCGTTCGTCACGCCTACGCGGAGAAGGTAATATATGTAAGCTTCAAGAATCAAGTCTAACTCCGCCTATCTATTTATACAGGGTGTCCCAAAAGTCGACGTCAAGTCGAAATTTTCTCATAGGTAATGGCCACACCAGTTATCAGAAAAATTAAAAAAAAAATTAAGTCATGTATTTTTGAAGTTATGGAAATTTTCCTTTTATTCCAGAAAATGTACACCATGTGACAGTTTTTTCATTCCTGTTGTTACAAATATTTACTTTTTGCCAATTTTTTTTTCTCTTACGTCATCCCGAATAGTGCTTTATGTAACCTATGATCCTAAACCCTGTGCCGATCACTCCAACTTGTAGGAAAATGTCATTTTATACCGTACCAAGTTTTCAAAATTAATTTTTCGCACTAGTTCAACTAATCGTCCTGAAAAAAAAATGTATTACTCCAGTTTGGCAAGCAGCTTTAAAAGTATATGCATAGTTGAAGCGTTAACAGATTATTTTACGTGATTCGGTTGCTGTATTACTTGTACAGTATAGATAATTAACCCATAAAATGAATTATGACTACTGTAAAATACAAATTTCCTTTCAAGCATTGCTGAAAAACACTCTGGCTATACCTACGTTATGAATGAATCATTATGATCGAAAATCAAACCTAATATATCCAAGATGTCACTGATTCTTTAGATAGCCGATCGCAAACAAACGGATATTATGTTTATTTAAGAGATTGTGTTCTTCGTTATGAAAACTTAATATTTTGTATTAACAGTTTCAACTGTTTATTTTCCCTTAAACGTGTCAAATTTTTCATACAATAATTGACAAAGTACTTTTACCTTGTAAGAAAAATAACTAAAGAAGTAGCTTAGTCCTCGTTCTTACCTTACGTTACAGATTCATTCATTGTCACACTCAATAAAGATTCAGAATCTTGCCGTAACTCATTACTAACTAGTGGTAGTGGTATATTTGAATGGATCTTAATGGTACATAAAATTAATTTATCGTCGATTAAGATAGGATTGATTTCAATCACAATACGGAACCGACCTAATTGAAAATGGCAGTCTTGCGTATTCTTACGCAATTAAATATACTATTCAAAGAATCAATCAAATTTATTGGTTTAGAAATCAAATATAAAACTCGCTACAACAATGATTAATTTTATTAAAGCTATTTTCAATTCGTAGTCACTACGACTGCGTTGATATAGAAATCCGGCCCTAGACTAAAATACGTACCATTCAATATAGCAATTAAAGAACCAAGCCGATTGTGTTATCTTTACTATTAATCGTTATAAAATATGAAGATTTCTAACAATTTTAGAAATATGCTATATAAATCAAGGTGCATAAAATTTTTCTTTTCATACATTGTGTTCTTCACTTTCATATACTAACACTAATTTCGTAGAAAGGCATACGCTTTTAGTTGCATAATATCATGTGAATAAAGTTTATAAATAATACCATCCCATAAACAAGAGCTAGGGTATACAAATTTATATTTCGAATATTCCTATTTCATAATTGACAAGCAATGATATTAAACTAAACAGCGTAATGCTCTCATTATGGAATGTCGAGTGCACCAGAAATCTCAAGTACTGAAACAGTGTATAATTATTACATAAACAATTCTAGTATGCTCTTGGGTATCGTGGGAATAAAAATTTATATTTATTAATTTCTTCATAAACAAACTAATGCCTTATTGCTTGATTTATCCTAATTATAATCTTCTTTTTATTATAGCGTTGACAAAATGTGACAAGAAGAGCCGAATTAGTACTATAGTTTTGAGTATTCAGTACTATTAAAGCTTTATTAATTAATCCATTTGGTAAATAATTGTTTAGTTTAAATTTAAATTCGTATAAGTTCTAAAAATTAAGGTAAGTTTCGTTAGTGTTCTAGTATTTGTATTTGTTTGGCCCCTTTTTACGGTAAAAGCATCCTCCATATTTTTCATTTTCCCATCCCATTTTCTTTTATCCCATGTTTCCAGTATAATGAGTGTTAATTAAAAGTACCAAAACCATACGTAAAATTTATTTAAGTAAATCATTTTATTTGTATTAAAACAAAAACATGTAATAGATCAATACATCAATGTAATTAATGAAATTAATAATTATTTTTGTGAAATGATAAAGATATTCAAAATATTATTAAATAACATTTATAGTCCTTTTTAAATGGTCTAACAAACTTGACATAATATAAGAAATACTGTAATTAAAATCTTAGCCTAAAATTGTTACTCCGAGCATGTTATTTATAGACATAGAGAATGTAATCATGGTAACAGACTTATTTAATAAGACAACGTTTTAAAATCATGTCGAAAAGACTTCAAATAAAACTACCATACAAATGCCAGACCAAATATTTTAAATGTAGATCTAAAAAAATCTATTCAAACATCTTGTTAAACTGGAGCAGATAATGATGTATAATGTCCCATTACATTGTTCAATTTCAAAGTAATTTTCAAACCAACAATAATATCTGTAATCGCTAAAACAGCTCTGTCTTTATGGTGATGAGTTTTTCAGCAGTTCCTCTTTATCGTTGGGCGTATAACACACTAAATATATAAGCATAAGGTCAAGTCTTTTGGAAGTTTCTTTTACAAATAATGTCTTGAGTCTTGTTGGTCTACTGGCTAAAGGGTGTTACTTTCAACCCTGAACTGTGCGTTGAATTCGAGGCTTTGCACCAATGTATTTTTTTTCTATGTGGATTATTAATACACGCGCTGTAACGGTAGACATCACCAGGAAATAAAAAATTATGACATGTGACACACAAGCCTGATCACTTGTACTATGATTGGTAATGCCTTATTCATCGTCTACCTACCCTTTACCATCGTAAAATAACAATTCCGTCCCTAAAAAAATATATAGAAACAGATGGAAAAGTGTCGATACTAAAAAATTTAAAGAATTACTCGTTATAATTTGATAGGTGTAAATTGGTACAAAAATTTTAAATGGCTGAATTTATAGTATACTCGTAAATTGTGCGTATAAATGTAATTTGAACCACTTTATACCAATCAAGACGGCGCCTCTTAGGCCTATTGTTAATTATTATTAACATTCGCTTTCATTGATTTGCGGTGTTAATTTAAATTATTTCATTGGGGCAAAATATTCCATTTAAATCCTTAAATGACTAAGGTTTCTTTATTTGTCTTTTCTCTCAACTCTCCAGTGTATGGGACACATTATATTCCTGCCTGTCACAGTTATCGTGTGGAAGGAAATTTAACCCAACTAAGACATAGTAAGTTTGGTTCGAGAGATGTTGGTAAATCTTAACTATTGTTTCTTCTACGTTTAAAAATCAATTATCCAAGAATTCCTGTACTTCTTATGATTTAAGAATTTATATTATGAGGCAAGAATGAGTTTACAGTATTTTGAATGTTAAGTTTCGTTGTTCGCCTTGCAATTGTCAAGTGATAATTCCGGCATTTTTGTCTTCTAACTCAACGCACTCGTCTTCAACAAGATCACGATTTAACCTACACCCTATAACCAGAGAGAAAACTTTTCTTATATAACTTCTTGCTCATACATACGCACTCTGTTTAAAGATTTTCTTACCAAAGTGTAGAAGGTTAAGGGTTACCTTTGTAAGGATCATATAACGTTTACGAAGATTCAAGACACTACACTCGCTTTGATACTCGATATGTTAAGCTTAACTCTCTATAACTATATGGCATTTAAATATAGCAACTACTTAGTTCGGCTTGGTTCGGTTTTATAAGACTTTAACATAATACTTTTTATATTTTGTATTTGACAATGTAATAATTACTTAATTGCATTTTATAAACATACTAGCTGACCGGGCAAACGTCGTTTTGCCATATATATCATTTATAATAAAAAAATAGAGGTTGATCGTAGAGGGGTGAAAGTTAGGGGTTTGTATGTATTTTTTAATGCTGTATCATAAAAAAATATCTAAAAATAAAAAATAAATATTTAGGCACTACCCTGAACATTTAGGGGGATGAAAAATAGATGTTGTCCGATTCTCAGACATACCCAATATGCACACAAAATTTCATGAGAATCGAGCCGTTTTGGAGGAGTATGGCAATGAAAACTGTGACACGAGAATTTTATATATTAGATATTTATCGTTTAATAAAACCTAAACATAACAATCATGTACGAGTACACAGTATGTACAATATTCTTAACCTACATAGTAATAATAGAAATAGTTGAAAATTAAACCAAATTTAAAAAGTTTGGTCCCTGTGGCAGTGTACCTTTAACGCTGGCAGCATTTCCTAGCTGTATTGCGCTACTTATTCGTTCGAGCGAGGAAAGCACCAGCTCTGGGGTTACCGGTAAATACTATCTACCAGGCGCCAACTTTAATCTTTAATTAGGGCCTGTGCACTTGAACTCCATGGTCCAAGAGAACAAAATCAAAGTTTGAGGAAAGACATAAATCTATATAATATATATATAAAAATGAAACCCGTTTTCCGTTGTCACGACATAACATGAAAACGGCTTGACCGATTTGTCTGATTCTTTTTTTATAATATTCCTTGAAGTAAGAGGATGGTTCTCACGGGGACAAAAATTTAAAAAATTGAGTGACTTCTAAAAACAACACTTTTCTATATTCCCATACAAAATATTCGTAATAATATTTAAAGGCAATTTGAACTTTAATACCATATCATAAAGTTCAAGTATTAGTGGAGGGTTTCCGGGAAGGTAAATTTTGATTTTTTGACATAATGTATTTGTTGTTTTATCAACATTCTTTTTTTTATCTTACTAGCTAGACCGGTGTCCCGAATAGCAGAATAAGTATTTAAAAAAACTAAGTATCGACTGTTAGGCGGTACGATGTTCGCCAGGCCAGCTAGTAAATAATAAAAAC